GGATTAGGAATGAAGACCTTATTTTCCAAGCCAGGGAACCTTTCAAATGTCGAGGGAAGGTGCTCACCACCACATTCCAGAACACCACGTGTGTGAAGTGGTCAGACTAGAAGAAGGTATCCAGGCCTGGAAACGTTTTCAATTCAAGAGATCTTTCGTTCATTGTGTCCTGTCCTAGATCTCAGACTTTTCATTCCTTGTAATCAACGATACCATGTCCTGACGGTCGATACTTGCCTAGCGGATGCTGGGATGTAAATCCAGCCGGTAGAATCACCAGCACGCCCAGCCATCTGTTCATGGTAGTCAAGACTGGAAACTTCCCAAGTGCCCACCTGCAGTCAACGTGGACATGTTCACGTGAAAAAATACATAACGCAGAACGTAGAATGAATAATCTACAACTTCCCTGAGTGAACTTCACAGACCCGTTGACCAAAAGAAAAGAGGCACAAAAGAGGATTCGTTTTGGGAGGGGTGGCAGGGCGGGGGGGGGGGGGTGCGGGGGTGAAGGTTTATGGAAGGACTTGGCTTATGCCAATTACGGGGACTGGCTAAGCAATTTGTAAATCCGTAGGGCAGGCACTCAGATAAGGCGGGCCAGCAGGAAGAGAGGCTGGCAACGGAATTGAAAGTATAGATGAAACAGAAAGTCGGTTCTTTGAAAGTTTCAACAAAACTGACCAGTGTTTAGCTACATTGACTGAGAAAAACAAAGAGAGGAGACGCAAATGATGAAAATGAGAAGTGAAAGTGGGGACGTTATTACAGATTTTATAGAAATAAAAGCAATTGCAAGAGAGTACTCCGAAAAAGCATACTGGGTAAAGCTAGATTAAGTGGACGGATGTCTAGAAACATCCAATCGGCCAAATAGAAAACATGAAGCAACAAACATGTGAACAGACCCGTAACTGCTGAGATACTGAAGCAGGAATCCAAACCATCACAACAAAGAAAAGCCACCCCAGATGGTTTCACAGAGGAATGCCACCAAACGTTTAGAAATGTACTTTTGGCGGTTGGGGTGCCTGGGTGGTTCAGTCGGTTAAGCGGCCGACTTCAGCCAGGTCGTGATCTCGCGGTCCGTGAGTTCGAGCCCCGCGTCGGGCTCTGGGCTGATGGCTCAGAGCCTGGAGCCTGTTTCCGATTCTGTGTCTCCCTCTCTCTCTGCCCCTCCCCCATTCATGCTCTGTCTCTCTCTGTCCCAAAAATAAATTAAAAACAAAACAAAACAAAACAAAAAAAAAACGTTGAAAAAAAAATTCAGAAATGTACTTTTGGCGGCCGGAGGGGGGTTGTGGAGATGACAAAGGATGTTGATTTAGACTTGATCCCTGGAGACTGTCATACATGGAAAAACACTTCCTTTAAAGTGGGGGAAACAGTCATCAGATTGGCGTCACCTCCTCCCTCTCCTTTGGCATGGCTCTTCCAGCGGGTCCCCTCGAGTCCCCGGAGTGTGAGGACCGGGGTCGCCTCCTGGCACCTGCCCGTTTCTAGGTTCGCTGCTTCTGGAAAGCTGTCCGCTCTTCTGACCGGAGGCTGTCTGCCGGCCCCCTTCGCAATCCTAGCAGCCGCCCTCAGGAAGTAGGAAACGGCGGGTTGTCCAGTCCTGATTTCAAATGTGCTGCCGGGCTTCACGAAAATCTCGGTGGGCAGAGGAAGGCCTTCTCTGTGCATCGGTGTTCACAGCAGCGTCATCCACGATAGTCAGGGAGCACCGACCGGGATAAATGCCAACAAGTAGCTGCTACAGGGGGAAGAAATTACCTACAGAGGAGCAAAGATAAGGATTACAGCCGCTTCCCCCTCAGGAAATGTGCAAGCAACAAGAGCGGAGTGAAGTATTTCGTGCTAGAGATAAACACATTTATCTAGAATTCTGCACCCTGGGAAGTCATCCCTAAAGAGTGGAGAAGATATAAAGATTTCCCCAGAGAAAATATTGAGAGCATTCGTGGCCAGCGACCCATCCAGCAAGAAACGTTAAGAGAAATTCTTCAGAAGAAAGGAATGATACAGATCAGAAACTCGGATCTACGTGAGAAAGACCATCAGAGAAGAAATACATGAAGGTAAAATAAAAACTTTCATATTTCTGACTCTAAATTGACCTGACTGATAACAGGGTGTTCAACATAATAATACCCACAACATACTAGATTATGTATGTTGTATATCTATGTGTGTATATACATATATTTGCTTATGTATGTGTGAAACAAATGACAACAAGGATACAAGGAACAGGAGGGAAGAATTAGGATTATTTTGCTGTTATAAGGTACTCACACTTCCTGTAAAGTGACACAGTGTTTTGTTTTGTTTTGTTTTGTTTTGTGAGAAAGAGACAGAACGTGGGAGGGGCAGAGAGGGAGGAAGACACAGAATCCGAAGCCAGGCCCCAGGCTCTGAGCTGTCAGCACAGAGCCCGACGTGGGACCCGAACCCACAAACCATGAGATCAAGACCTGAGCCGAAGTCGGACGCTTAACCGACTGAGCCCACCGGGTGCCCCTGACACAGTGTTATTTGAAAGCGGGCTTGGGGTAGTTGCAAATATATATTGCAAACTCTAGGGTGACCAGTAAAAAAAAAAGTAACAAAAGAAGTATAACTGATATGCTAAGAAAGGAGAGAAAATAAAATAATATAATATAATATAATACAATAATGTGAAGTGCTCAATTAAAGCCACAAAAGACAGAAAAAGAGTGGAAGACAAACACAAGAACAAAAAACAAAGGCACCAAACAGAAAGTAGTAACGGCTGCGCAAAATATTAATCCCACTATACCAGGAATCAGCCCAAATATCAATGGTCTAACTGCACCAATTAAAAGACAGAGGTTGTCAGAGTGGACCAAGAGACAAGACTAAACTATATGTTGTCTACAAGAAACCCACTTGCAACATAAAGACACATATCGACTAAAGGTAAGTGAATGGACACAGACACACCAGCCAACGTTGGAACAAAGGGAGCAGGAGTAACGTGTTCAAGTCAGACGGAGCCGACTTCAGAGCAAGGACACCACCAGAGATAGAAAGGAGCTTCATAGAATGACAAGGGGTTCGATTCTCCCTTGACAAAAGGGGTCAATGCTTAGTGTGAACATGCCTCACAGATCATCAAACCACCTGGGACAGAATGTAAGAGAATTGCAAAGAGGAACAGGTGAATTCATGATCATGTTTGGAGACTTCGTGTCAGAAATGGTCCAGCAGGCAGGAGATCAGTGAGGACACAGCCGAGCTGAACAACGCCATCAAGCAAATGGATATCATCTACATCTACAGACAGCTTACCCGACAACAGCAGAACACTCGCTCTTCTCAAGGTCACACGGGACCACATTCTGGGCCATACAACACACCTTACCACATCTGAAAGCATTGAAGTCAGACAACATCTGCTCTCGGGCGCCAACAGAATTGAACTAGCAATCGATAGCAGAAAGATAGCTAGAAAATCCCCCCAAAACCCGGAGACTAAACAACACGCTTCTCAATGACACATGGGGCAGAGAAAATGTCTCGGGAAAAAGTGAAAAACATCTTGAACTGAATGACATGAAAACACACTGTTTCATACGGTAAAAGAAGTGCTTAGAGAAATTTAGAGCATCGGATGCATATTATTTGCAAAAAAAAAGATCGGAGGAAGTAAATCATCTAAGATTCCATCCTAGGAGAGTACAAAAAGAAGACCTAATTATCCAAAGCAAGCAGAAAAGAATAATAAAAATTAGAACAGAAATTAAAGACAGGAAATCAATGAAACTAAAAGCTGGTGCTTTGAAAAGATCAATAAAATCAGTAAAAATCGATCAGCCTCTCACTAGACTAAGAAAAACAAGGGAAGGGACGCAGATTCGTGATAGCAGAAATGAAAGAAAGGACAAAACGATAGATCCCAAGGACAATAAAGGGATGTTATGCACAATCTTTATACCCACAATTCAGATAACCTAGACGAAATGGACCGACTGAAGTTGTGAGGACAGAATTTGCCAAAATTCACACAAGAAGAAACAATGACCCTCAATAGGCCTCCACATGTTAAAGAAATTGAATCAATAAGAAATACTATCCCAAAACAGAAATTTCAGGCCCAGGGAAGTTCACAGTGAATTCTGCCAAGGATCTAAGGAAGAAATAATACCACTTCTCTACAATCTCTTTCAAAAGACAGAAGCAGAGGAAACGCTTCCAAACTTAGTGGGGCGAGCATCATCCTAACATCAGGATCAAACAAAGACACGGCCGGAAAGGAAAACCACAGACTGTCATCTTTATGAACACAGATACAAGAATCCTCAGCAAAATACTAGCAAATTGAATCTAACAACGTATCAAAAGAATTATACACCATGACCCAGTGGGATTTATTCCAGGTGTGTAAGGCTGGTTCAAGATCCAAAATCACTTAATGTAATCCATCACACCAACAGGCTAAGAGAGAAAGCGCGCGTGATCAGATCGGTAGCTGCAAAAAAAGCCGTTGACAAAATCCAACTCCCTTTCGTGATAGGAACTCTCGGTCACCGTCTCTACCTTGTACTCAGTTTTGCTGTGAACCCTAAACTGCTCTTTAGCAAGTCTATTGAAAACTAATAAATGCGTATATTAGAAAAGAAAATGGTTAATGTGTGTGGAATTGTGTGAAAGGGAGTGAAGTTTTGAATTTCAAGCTGGGCAGGGAATAGATTGAGAGCCACGCCCGGGAGCACGTGGAGGGTGGGGAGGAACGAGATCATTCTGATCGTGGTCATGGTTTTAGCATAAGGCTCATAGAATTTAAACACTTAAAAATGTCTGGGAACGGGATACCTCCTAACCTCAGCGTGGTGCTTGTTTTGGATCAAGTTTAAAATGCGGTTGTGGACACTGACTACGCAAACGTGAGTAGAGAGAAGACCCCAGACTTTTAGGAACCAGCGCCGATGAACGCAGGAAACCGAGGTGAGCGCCACCGGCCCAGGCCACACGCGGGGGTTTCTGTGGTGTAGCGGTTATCACAGTCGCCTCACACGCGAAAGGTCCCTGGTTCGAAACCAGGCAGAAACACACGCGCGGCCGAGTAAACCCTTTTCTCTTCCAACAAGCCAATGCCGTGTGTCACGTAGACACCTGTCAGCCTTCTATTCGCTTTATCTATGGTCTCCTGTGCACAGCTCCGTCCCTTCCTCTCCCGAGTTAGAGAGTCATGGGGACACCCCGAGACAAGGTGTCTGTTTTGTGCGCCCGGTCACCAGGCCAGGGGACACTGACGGGGACCTGGAAGGAGGAGTTGTTTGGGAAAAGAGAAGGCCCTCTCACCGAGTTTGTTTTCACAGTTCTTACAGCGCGACGGTTTTCTCGAGTGCCACGTTCTCCAGTCAGTACCCTCCAGCTCCCGGGGCTTCTAAAAGCACTGGGTCTCATTGACCGTCACCTTGGACTGCATTCCACTTTCAGGAGTCCTTTAAAATCCAGTCTTTGGGGGGCGCCTGGGTGGCGCAGTCGGTTAAGCGTCCCACTTCAGCCAGGTCACGATCTCGCGGTCCGTGAGTTCGAGCCCCGCGTCGGGCTCTGGGCTGATGGCTCAGAGCCTGGAGCCTGTTTCCGATTCTGTGTCTCCCTCTCTCTCTGCCCCTCCCCCGTTCATGCTCTGTCTCTGTCGCAAAGAAAATAAATAAACGTTGAAAAAAAAATTAAAAAAAAAAATAAAATCCAGTCTTTGGGCAAAAAAACCAGACTCCCAAAGAGGGCCAGCGTCACGGCTGGCAAACCACACGCCCAACTTTAATGTTCTACCACTCCTGGTCTGAAATTCTCAATAACTTTTCAACAGAAAGCCCTGCGTTTTCGTTTCACGCTGGGCCCACAAATCCTGTCACGCGTCCTCCCGAAAGCTCACAAAAGGAGCGGTCGTGCCCCCTCTCTGGTCCTTCCGGGAAGGAGCAAAGCAGCTGAGAACCGTGCCACCCCCTGCTTGACGACGAATGTTGTGTGGAGGAGGGGGTGCCTTTGCAGACTGGACCGCCTTAAGAGGCATCCTCGCACATCAAAAGGAAAAGATCGGCTAAAACATTAAAATTCTATTCTAGGATTTGATTTTTTTTTTTGTTTTCCAGCGTTTTATTTTGATCTAAGTACTTCCAGTCCCAGCTGCCTCCAGTCGCCTGTTAGACTTCTTGTCCTCGGTTTTGGTTGGTTCCATCGCCATTCTTCTTAATCTTCCAAGATTCCATCACGTCACTGGGCTTTTCAAAATATTCTGTGGCGTCCTAGAATCCACAATCACGGGAGAAGGAGGGGTGGTTATCGCGGCACTCGGTTTGCACGACATGCACGGTTTGTCTCCTTTTCTTGCCTTCTTTGTGGATTGCTTTAAAAGCAAAATGCTGCGACTGCGAGCTTCTTTGGGAAATGTGGAGCGTAGCTATAGAGGTTTAAAATTAGAAAATTATGCCTCGCGTCTAGTTCACAGCATAGCTTTGCCAATTCATGGTGAATAATCTTCTCAGTCTTCTACAAAACGCCTCAGACAGGTAGACTCGACATCTGAGGCTTCCATCAGGTATAAAACCCAAGTTCTGATTTGCTTTGCTTATTTTTTACCCATTGCCTGTATTTGCCTTGGACAATTTCGCTTTGTAAAACCTCAAAGAGGAAGGCCCCGCTGGGATTCGAACCCAGGATCTCCTGTTTACTAGACAGGCGCTTTAACCAACTAAGCCACGGAGCCTGATGTCCCATCCCTACCTGACGCATATTGTTTTATGAAATGTCACCCCTTAATCTACGTGGAGCCCAGGATGGGGTCATCGACACCAGGGAAGGCTCCTTCCTCGGGGAGGAATCCTCGAGTAGGATTGTCCTTAACTCGAACACCTATGCACCTTGGGAGCTCCCTGCCTCCCAGCAGACGGGCACAGGAGGCACGGGGCACGCTGTGTGCACACTCGCGTGCAAAAGGAACAACACAGGAGGCACGCGGGTCCACGGCGATCCTAGGCGCCGGTGGGCACATGACGCTTCCTGATTAGGACTCAGCGCTGCTGTCTGGGAATCGGTCTCCCGGACCCTTGGCTGCGCCCTCGGGATCAGCCGTCCCACTGGCGGAAATTCTCTCCTACTTGCAGCTGAAGAGTCGCCTTAGCCGACCTCCTGCCTGTGGTCTGGGAGGTTCCGGCCCCTGTCTTCATTTGCTTTTTCTTTTCGTTTTTCCAGGTCCTCTGTCCCTTTAGTTCAAGCTGCGTTCAACCACCCTGCTCTTGAAAGACCTGCGATCTCGTGAACGTTGTTGGAGTTTATCCTTGTATAGGGGGAGTTGGCAAACTGTGACCCATAGGACAAATCTGGCCAGCTCCCTGTTCTTGTCAAGTTTTATTGGAACACGGCCACACGAATTCTTTTCACATCATCTGCGGCCACTTTCCTGCTTACAACAGCAGATTTGAGTAGCTTCGACAGACGCTGACTGTATGGTCCACTGGCCCGTTGAAGAAAAAGTTGGCCAACCTCTGTATTAAAAAAAAAGCCACATCCGCAGACCTCAGGCAAACAAACAAGCCCTTGCTTGCCTTGGCTTCCAATCGAGCTGCCGTGGCATCACACCCGCAAGAGTTGTGCTTTTGTGGATGGGACGGGCGGGGCAAGTCCTCCTTAAGAGGCTCAGAGGTTTTTCTGCTGAGATACCGCCTTCACTCCCTTTGGAGTGCCAACGAAAGATTTTACAATCACGCCTGTGGCTTCATCTTGAGGCCGCATTTTCTGACAGCGCTCTGGATTTAATTCTTGCCTGAAAGCCATTTCTTTCTTAACGTCGGCATCGCTTTTCATCGTGGAGCCGCTGGGCATGACGAACAGCTTGTCTTTCAAGCCCTCTGAGTTGTGGCTCGTTTGTGTTTGACAGTCCTCCCCTTCACTGAAACCTGAGCAGCACCCTCGCGGTTCCGCCTGGAAATCTCTCTAGCTAAACGGGTCCGTCAGACTGGTTTCCATTCCATGACACTGCAGGCCCTGGCGTTTCTAAATCCCCAACTGCTTCACGACGCATCCCTTTTCCTCCAGGTTCAAGTAACATTTTCCTCGGGATCCATTTGTGCCTCCTGTGGCTTACCTGGATATTTTATTGGGGGGGGGGGATCCAAACCTAAGGTTATGCCTTGGTATGGACCCCACCTGGGAGCCCTCTCCGTGCGTGGCTTTCTCCTCTCCGGTGTCCTGTGCCCCCTGTATCCTGACCGCTTTGGCCTCCTCGAGATGCTGTTTGTGCTCCCAATGCGGGGACCCCGCCTGGCTCTGGATCGCCCTCCGCCCTCGCCCTCCGCCGTGCTGGGGCTAGAAGCTGCCTCTAGGCCCTAAGCTAAAACCTTTGTGAGACTCACCTCTTCCGTCCCCCCCGCTGCCGGGGATGGGGTCCCTGCACTGACAGCAAATGTCACAATTCCTGTCCGACTCCTTGCTGCCCACGAGGGAAGCGCGGCTCCTACAGGCACGCATCCTTCACGGGTGGAGGCGGAAGCCTGCGTCCCTTTCCTCCTACTTGCCCACTTCCTTCTGACCTTGCTGCCGCTCGTGGCTTTTTGCTGCGGTATCATCTATCTATCTGGCCCTTGCTACTTTGGGACAACTTAGATACACTCACCCATCATCCCATTTATCTATTTATATTTCTCTCATGTCCTTTATTTTACACATTCTCCGTTGTAATGGAAGCAAATGCTAGAGTCTTATGTCTTTATCGACTGTGCTCTTGAAGGGGTTTAAAGTTCTCCTCATGGACTTCTGGTAGCTTTATTTTTTACTTTCACATTTGGGAACTAAACTTACTAGCTGATTCTACCGTGTAGCCCGTGTTCAGAACAACAGTAATGGAATGTTCTGGGAACCTTTGTGTCTGTCCATACCTGTAGGATGCTATCTCAGATCTGTTTTTTTTTTTTTTTGTGGAAGCAGCAGTGGTGTCCAACCCCAGCCTCAACCCAGTTCTCACCCCAGCGCTGAGACGTCTGGGTTTCCTTCTGGGCTTGTTAAGTGCAGGACCCCTGGGCCCTGTCTCCTTTCTAGGAGTTGAACCTTGATCTGGCCGGAGACAGAACCCAGAGCCGGCCAACCGGAGGACTTGAGGGGGCCACTCCTTGTGGGTGAATTTATCAGCCAGAGAGAAAGATCTGAATGTGGATCCGGCCAGTCTGAACATTCAAAACGAGGGTTGGTTGGGTCCATCAACGGACATTCTGGAAGAGTCATCTCTGCTTGTCCGGTAGGGCAGACATGACCCCCTCACACTGTGGTGCCTCCCTTCGGTTCCCTGAGGGCCCTGTCACACGCTAGGTGTTGGGTAGCGCCCTCCAGATCTCATTTCAGCTCAGGAGACCCCAAATGTCCCATCGGATGCATACATTCCCCGCGACGACTTGTAGCGCCCTTGGCGGAGTGTGGTCCGCAGACGGAGGGCGGTGGTCACCCGAGTGTGCCCGGTGGGGTTGGCATTCTTGGGGCCTACCCTATACCGGAGGTGCGGGGTGCCACCCTCCGCTCCTTCGGGGACACACTGGGCTGGCAGTTACAGCCCCTTGCCATTAAAATCGGAGTCACGCATGTGAACTGTGTCCGCTAGGGATTTCCAAATCTACCGCCAGGGCGAGCTCGTTTAACCTCACGTCCCTTGGGCCCCAGCCCCGCTGCCCAGCCCCGGGTTGGGGAGGGGGGGAGGGGGACGGGAGAGGGAGGGGGACGGGAGGTCTGGGACTTGGGGGGGGATGGGTACGAGCTCAGGAAAACCGCGGCCTCTCAAGCGAGTCCGGATGGCGGCGGCGGGGAGCGGAGGGAGCAGGTGCACCGGGGCAGGGGTGGGGGCGGGGGCTCTTGCTCTCCGTCCCTCCCCCGTTCGTTTTTCTTTTCGTACCACACAGAAAGAGCTACTTCTCTGAGGCCCAGGCAGTGAGCTCGGGGCGGGGGGGGGGGGGGGGGTCGCGTGGGCGCCCCCCAAAAGCAGGGGGGGGGGCGGTTCCTCTGCGACGCCCCGCCTCACGTCCGATGCAACCCCCAAAATCAGAAACCCGGGCTTCCTTCCTGCGCGGCGCGAATACCGTGCTTGCAACAAAAAAACAGTTGCCGGGGGCAGAAGCCCAGCCACCGGGATGGCCGAGTGGTTAAGGCGTTGGACTTAAGATCCAATGGGCAGGTGCCCGCGTGGGTTCGAACCCCACTCCCGGTAGGGCGAGTTTCTGAAGGCTGGAGGCCCCCCTGGGGCGGCGAACGCGGCCTGACCCCGCGCCTGCTTTTCTTGTCCCCCCCTACGCTGTCCTCAAGCAGAAGCACCTGCGCGAACCGAACCGATTTTTGCTCGGACCCCCTCAGAGGGCCAGCGTGAGCCCCTCCTCCCCCCTCCCCCCTCCCCCCCCCCACCACGCGCCGCCCCAAGTCCACAGTCTTCCTAAGGAGCCGCTCCTCCTGCGGGCCTCTCCGTTGCAAGGGGGACGGAGGCCTGGGGCCCCGCCGGACGACCACCCGCCAGGTGCCCCTCACCCCCTGCGGCTGGCTCCGAAACACGGCTGACCCCGCGCCAGCGGACGGTGGGTGTCTGCACATGGAAAGACGCTCCCGCAGCGGGGGGTGTTAGCTGGCCTTCCGGTCAGTGTTGGGCATCTTTTCAAGTGGATGAACCCCCTGGGTCTCCTCTCGTGTGAACTTATTATATCCTGTACTCACTTCTCTCCTTCCCTGTCAGGTCTTCCTCTTGGGGGAAACAGGAGTCCGTGGGGCCTTCTGTCGGTATGTCACAGGTTTATTTGCCTTGGAACTTGGCAGGGATTTTGGAGGCGGACACTTTGGACTGTGTGCCCCCCCAGTGATCAGCCTTCTGGTGCAATGTCTGACTTGGATGTGCCTTTTCCTGCTACAAGAGCGAGAGTGACAGAGGAACGCCATTTCTTCTACAATGTTCATGATTTCTTTTTTGTATCTAGATCTCTGAGGTATCTGATTTTTCCCTGTGTTTTAACATGAGAGATACAGATCTAACTCTACCTTATTTCCAGAGGATCACCAGTACTCTCAACACCATATTATTGAATGTCCATATTCTCCCCATCCGTTGAAATGCCGGACTACTAAATTCTGTTCTCTAAAATGCATAGGACCAGATGATTGGAAACACCATGAACCTTGGAACTCAACAACCAATGTTCTAATTCTGGCTTTCCCATGGCCTCGCTGAGCCTTGATTTCTTCCTTTGTTAAATGGAGACAATAACCCTTATCTCATGTAAATGCCTGCTGAATTAAGAAGTCTCTTTGCCTCTGTATAGATTAGTCATCTGTCCCCTAAGAAGAAACTCACACACTTCTTTTGTAGCAGTCCCTAACAGAAACCCCAAAATCAGATTTAACATCAGATAAAATTTGTCCTGATGGCTAAATTGCTTCTATGTTTTGAGATCAAACATCGAGATTCCACATTTGAACGTTCTCTGATCCTGGGGCAGCTCAGTGCATCATTTTCATGAGCGGCCTTGAATTTCAAGTGTGAACCTTGAGTTTCACGTTTGCTCCTGGCCATCCCCGGCAGAAGGAAGGAACTTCCTGTGTCTTCACGGTCAGAAATAAGTCGGTTTGAGAAAGACTAACGTTCCATGGAGAGGCAAGACTCCTCCCTACCAAAGGTGGTTTCTGTCATCTTTTTTCTTTCCCGTGAATGAGGTAGAGAGAGGACGGGTGGAAGTGGAAGATTTATTTTTTTCTGAAATGAGATTCCAGATGGCAAAGATTTTATCCCAACTGAAATCTGCTAAAGAGAAAACACAGCAGTCTCTCAGTGGTCGGTTAGCAATGCCGTGCAGACTGGCGCCCAATGACACCGACGTCCACGTTCTGTCACTGCACAAGTTCTCTTAGGTCACATCTCCCCACCAGAGAGTCAACCCCTCTAAAATTACCATCCCAAACCCCTCTCTGCCACCAGGAAGATCTGAACCCGTCGTGTCAGGCACTTGACTGTATTAACTTCCTCCCGATCATCAGTGATGCCGGCAACTTCCACGCAGCCCCAACCTCTCCTGTTGTTCCTCGAGGCAGGTGGAATTCCGTGATGGCCTCCAAGTTGCCCTCCCACGGTGTATAAGCCTGTACAGTCCCTCACAGATACTAGTCTTTCATCTAATACATAATTAATAGCTACCAATTCATCCCTTAAACTAGTTTATATACATAGTTTATAAATATATATATATACCATATATGGTACATATATATGTGGTGTATATATATATATGGTGTGTATATATATATATATATATATATGGTGTGTGTATATATATATATATATATATATATTGCAACATGCATCTTGATATTGGGAATGCAACACTGAGGGAAAAACAAACTAAGTTTCCTCCTTCCCACCCAGGCTTTCTGGGTAAAGGAAGAGACACACAGGTGGCTTTTATTTTCAACAGGAAACTGATTCGAGGAGGAAACTGAGGCTTTCTGGATTGGTTTTGTCTTTGGACAGAAATCATCAAGCCAGCCACACTCCTACCACCTCACCCTGGGCCATCCTCTCTTTACTGCTTGTGCCAGCCTTCTCCAGAGAAACGGAACGAGTAGGGTGGAATATATAGGTTGGCTCCTGTGGATATAGAGGCTGAGAAGTCATCAGATCTGCAGGCAGCAAGTGGGAGGCCCAGGAGAGCCAATGGTGTGGTTCCGGTCCAAAGACCAGCAGCCTTGGGATTCAGGAAGAGCCAATGTTTCAGACGGAGTCCGAGGGCAGGAAGAAACGGCCGTCCCGGCTCAAAGGCCGTCTGGCAAGAGGAGTTCCATCTTCTTCAGGGGAGGGAGGCCCATTTTTTCTATTCAGACCTTCAACTGATTGAAGGAGGCCCACCCACATTGGGGGGGCAAGGTGGTTTACTGTCTACTGATTTAAATGTTACACTCACCCCAAAACACCCTCATGGAAACATCCAGAATATGTGACCAAGTATCTGGGAACCCCATGGCCCAGTCAAGTTGACCCATAAAATTAACCATCACACCAGTTCAGTGTAAGCAAAACCATGATTAAAAAACAAGGAAGGACAATTTGCACTAATCTCAGCACAGTAAGAATTTAAGAAACAATGCAGGATATATAGTTTTTGCATGAGTAATATATTCACTTGGCTGGAAAATGAGAGAGTATTAGAAGGTTCCTGAAGTCTGTGGTCCCTCCTTCCCCATCTCTGCGGGTCTCACCAACACCTTTACCTCAGTTTCTTATACAACCTTCCTTTTCTTAATGATACTTGCAAATATGAACGTAGTCTTATCTTCCCTAACTTTTTACATAAAAGAGAAAATATTTACCCACTGTTCTGCAGCTCCAATTTTCAGGTAATGGAACAATGAGATCTCGCTTTCATCAGTACTTGGCTTACCAACACTTCCCGTTTTGCACATGGCCCAAGTGTGGCTTTTTTTCAGATGAGTTTATCCAACCAGGAAGGAGTTGGATCTGAAAATTTCTTTCCCACTGCACCTCTAGAGAAGGGAATGAAAGCAAAGTGTAGGAGCTAGAAGGGAGGAGGAGAAAATGAGATCCCTATTACTTTTTGTTTTGCTCTCAGGGACAAAATACTTTTTGTCTGACGCAATATAGTGTTCAAAGATACCTGAGGTAGGGGTTTCGAAGCAGCTAGTGATCAAGGGAAATTATATATTCATCCAAGAAATATTTATTAACCTTCACTCTTCAGAATGTAATAGTTATTATTTTTTAGCAAAGAGGCGTAAGAAATAGCATTAAGTTAAAAAATGGATAATCCTTTTAAAAAATGGATGTATGTATACGTATGTATATAATGTCCAGCAGTATCTAGACTATAAAATGTGCTTAAGTGTTTACTTAATGTGGGAATATATATGTATATTTTTGTAGCCATATTTTTTATGTGTTTTGGCAACAATCCTCCGTAATACTTGTATAATTAAAAAGGAGAAAAGTAAATGCAGAAATAGTGAAAAAAACAACAACAACCAATCCTTTGGATCTTTATACGTGGAGAAAGGATGAAATACTTAAAAAAAATAAAACTTTATGAAGAATCTTGTGTCCTGACAGTGTAAGGTGGACGCCCAGGGTTCCTTCCCCAGGATGGGAGTCGTCTGACCTACAGTCTGTATCAGGGTTAGTGATGAGGAAGGTTGAAACGATAGAAACTTAGAACAGTGAACACTCTTGCTGGTTATCAGGATTCCAGTATGAATTCAGTTATCCAGATCGGGGGATTCCTACAAAGGTGGTCACTCCCTGATCAAAAGATAAATGTGCTTTTAAGAGACCATGGAGTAGACTAGTTCGGAAGGAAGACTTCGGAGCAGATTCCCCAGATCTAGAGAAGCCGACCCCTTACTGAGACCCTGAGAAGAGAGGGGTTCACGGACACGTGGACACCGCAGAAGAGCGATCTCGTCTCCCACTTCTGCCTCCACCACGTATCCCCCCAGCCACAGTGTCTCACGATTCCAGTGGAGATAATAACCCCTACATCACCGAGTTGTGAGGACACACACACACACACACACACACACACACACACTGCGTGTAGCACAGCAAGTAGGGAGTGCTCAGTAATCACTAGTTCCTGTGCCCCATAAAAGAAAACCATTCCCTTCCTTGATAAGCTGTCCTGATGAAAATGTTCCTGATTGATTTCTGTAGCTTTTAAAACATTCTAGACGTTCACTTCTCACTTCTCTAACGCTGTCATCCCATCCACACTTTTATAGGCCGAACACCTGAGTCAGGTGTTCCCAACGCATCACCCTGGGCCTGGCCGCGAGCCTCCGGCCTGGCGATCTGACTGCAGTCTCCAGGACCCTCTGCGGTCCCACAGCAGCGGTGTCGTGAGTAGGGCCAAGCGGTCACTGCCCTTCCACCAGACTGAGGAAGACGGCTCCACCAGCCGCAGACGCTGTGCCCGCCAGCAGCATTTGCCGAAACGACACTGTGGGGAAAAATGATCAGTCACAACGCTCCCAGAGGGAGGAAGATTTTTATTAAAACTTCAGCTTCACAGATGGAGGAAGAGCTTTGTTAAAGACAATGAAATACTGTTACGAAACAGCCCAGTAAGTGCACATTTGTAGAGAAAATGGAGAAGAGGCATCTGTGTAATTTAGGAACCAAAATACAAGACTGCCTCTCTGCTTCTCCACACGCAATTCTACCCCTTCACTTCCTCCACCATGAAACACACCTCTGATCCAGGGCTCTAGAAAGACACCTGAACAGAACAAGGGGGAGAGTCGGGGACACTGCCTTTGGGGTGGGTGGCTGAGAAATCGCCAGCTGCGGGTAGGGAGCCCTCTTCGTTCAGTTCACTCTCTCTGCTGGTTTTCGGCTCAGTTTTGGGTCTTCTGATGAGACGGTGTCCATGTGGCTTGGTTGAGATTTTAAAACTCCAACAGCTCCCAAACCCTGGGAACTGTGAAGGCAGAGGGCTCCTAAGAAAACAACTATACTGATGACTCTGGTGGAGACCGTCTCTAATTTTCAAGGAGTGGAACAGGCCCAGAGACTAAGGTGTGGTTTTGTGGTCACCCCGTAACACAACGTCCAAGCTGACAGCGTCCAGCTGTGTGACTGGGACGGAGACACAGGGCCCTGCACCCAGAGGGGCCTCCTGCTCTGCCGTCGCTATCTTGAAATGGTTGATGACCTTCGGCCAAGAGACCCCACAGCTGCATTTTGCACTGGGCCTCACAAAGTATGTAGCTGGTCCTACGTGTTATGTTCTACACTCTGCGGTCAAGAAAAGGAAGTAATTCTTCCCCGTATTGTGCATTCTACCCCTTGTCCAAAGTGCGTTTGGTGCAGACAGTGCTTCTTGATCCCACTTCCGGGGTTTATACTGCGAAACCGAACTGCAGGAAGAAATCAAGTAAGAACAAAATTTTTAACATACATCCCGAAATCATGGGCAAGCACCATAAGGGACACTAATGCTCAGAACCAAAGAGGAAAAGGAGAAAGTGAGGAAAGTGACTACTGATGGAACTTGAGACTAAGGAAAAGGAAGACCAAAGAAACAAGCTTTACCCACTTCCCGGGAGGCTGACTGACCTTCCTCAATCAGAACCCGATGACCACTCACCAGACAGGAGAAAGATGGCCGAGCCGGACAGGTGTATGAAGGAAGGACACTTTTAGTGATTTCTGGCGGATCAGGTCCCCGAGCCACTTCCAAAGTTTGCGGACAGTATGTAGATACCGAGAGGAACACAAGAGCCCGTGCCAACCCACGACGGCAGAGAGATAGACCTTCTGATCAGCCTGTGCTGACACTTCACGGCTCCACTGCAGAAACATGATCCGTGAGCCAAACCGTCCTCCATACTGCGAGACCACTGTTTTCTCCTAGATTTTTCTTTTCCTTGGCACTCTCCTCAACGTTTTTTGTTTTTTTATTTTTTTTACATTTATTTATTTTTGAGACAGAGAGAGACAGAGCATGAACGGGGGAGGGGCAGAAAGAGAGGGAGACACAGAATCGGAAACAGGCTCCAGGCTCCGAGCCATCAGCCCAGAGCCCGACACGGGGCTCAAACTCACGGACTGCGAGATCATGACCTGAGCTGAAGTCGGACGCTTAACCGACTGAGCCACCCAGGCTCCCCTCCTCAACGTTTTTTTAAAAAGCTCATCAAGCTAAAATCTTCCCTCTAACCCAAGGGCAAGACGTTCAGAGTTCGCTCCTGCCTGTCCTTACCCCTGACGGTGAAGATAAACGCATAGGAAACACCCCGTTTCTGGGCCTCAGGGAATAACCAGCAACAGAAAGTTCAAGCAGAAGGAGCGAACCGAGAAGGGCGCTGACCATGAAAATCCCACCCAGTGCTAAGGAGGCTAGAACCAGGGCCGAATGGCAGAGTCTGAGAAGCCCTCCCTCTCTAGGACCCACTCCCCGGCTGTCCAGGCCCCACGTGAGGGGAGCCCGTGAATGCAGGTGGGTGTCGGGCGGGCAGGAGCGGCTGTGGGGGAGCTGGGGAGGAGGGGACTTGAGGCTGCAGGTCGAACCTCGTCTCACCTGGCTTGTGCCGGGCACCCAGACTTCGAAGAGCGTGCTGACAAGGCTCTACTTCCAGGCAGCTCTATTTCCACCCAGGACACCAGGAAAGACCACCACACCAAGGAGGTGGCCAGGAAATGACAGCTGAGGACCATGTCTCTGCTCGGTGTCTTCATGCTAAACCACCGCTGGAAAGGCATCACCTAAGAAAGGGAAGGGGCAGGGGGGAGTTTCCCCAGACTCTCCAGATTAACTCCTTACCCTTCAAAAACAATTCCTAATGATCCCTCATTCCTAAAACTTTCTTGAATCTCCCATCCTGGCCCCAATAACCCTTCCACAGTTTAATTCCTTATTTAACAAATACCCTATGCCCATGTCATGCCCGACATTCTGTAATACTGCCTTCTAACACCTCTCCCGGGTCGGCTGTCATCCCCACCAATCCAGACCGCAGACTAACAGCCTCTCCCCCCATAACTTTATCAGGTCCTTCTGCTTAGAGGGCTCCTAAAATCTCCCCAGCACATGTGATGTAATCCTTTGAGTAGCATCCAAGCCCTTCCTTAAGCTAGCTTCACCCTTATCTGTCCAGCTTTATTTCTGTCTACTTCCTCCAAAAATTCAACCTCTCTGCCAAAAAAAGTTCACCATACTGTCTCCCAAATCCTGTATAGGCAAGAGTTCCCGGTATGGGCTCCATTTAAACCTGCTGTCCCATTGCCCACTAAGTACCATCCAAGTATCTCATTCACTTAGTAAGCGGGTATGTCTTGACTGCCCACTGCGGTGCCTACACTGTTCCAGATGCCTGGTACTGGTCTGCAAACAAATATGGTTACCATAGGGAGATCTCCCAAGAGTGGTGCAGCCCCTGGGCTCTGCTCGTCCCCATCTACCCGGTCCCCCTGCTTCTCTTCCCTCATCAGCCAGTGTGAATCTATCCTTCAAGGCCCAGGCTTCGGTTGGAAGCTTACCCAACCCCAATGTCCAAACTGTGTGCACCCTGTGCCCTGTGTGAATACATATGACAATGAAGTCATGTACCACGTCCAGCAAGGGGGCCAGCATGCGGCTGGAGTGGAGACAGAGAGTACAGGACCAAGGTGATGAGGGCCACACTGGAGGATCCAGCAGGCACATTAAAGAAGTTGGTTTTTATTCCGAGAAGCCATCGCAGCAGAGAAATAAGGTCGGACTCACATTTCTATGGATTCACTCAGTTGCTGTTTTATGATTAGACTACCGGGCAAGGTTTAAGCAAGGGGCTCCGGGAGCTACTGCAAGAGTGACACCATATGACATCATGGAGGTTTGGAGCATGTGCTTACTGAGGAGGGCGCTGCCAGTCTCCCACTGGGTTTACTTGGCAGGTAGAGCCACTGGGCTTCGTGATGGATTAGACATGTGAGTCGGGAATGAGCTCAAGGTTTTGGATTCAGATCCGTAAGGACCACGTTGCTTTTTGCTGATATGGGTGAGATCAAGTTGCAGGCACAAGGGGGTGAGAAGCAGTTTGATTTCGGACATGTTACATCAGATATACCTTTTAGACGTCCAAGGATGTTAGGTGATGGTATATACTCGCATGGGGATTAAGAAGGAGGTCCAGGCTAGAGACACAGGGATTTAAATCTGAGAAACGTCAGGAGACGTGGGAATTTTTTTTTTTATAAATTTTTTTTAACGTTTATTTATTTTTGAGACAGAGAGAGAGACAGCATGAACAGGGGAGGGTCAGAGAGAGGGAGACACAGTATCTGAAACAGGCTCCAGGCTCTGAGCTGTCAGCACAGAGCCCGACACGGGGCTCGAACTCACAGACTGTGAAATCATGACCTGAGCCGAAGTCGGCCGCTTAACGGACTGAGCCACCCAGGGGCCCCAGGAGACGTGGGAATTAAAACCATCGCGAGTAAGTGAGTTTCAGTGTGGCCCAAGGAGAGAAGTGACCCTAGGACTGAGCTCCAAGGCTTTCCAGGAGTTAGAGACCCAGGGACAGAAGTACCCAACAAAGACGACTGGGAAGAAGTAGCCCGTGGAATAGGAAGAGACCAAATGAGAGAGGTGTCCCTGAAGCCATAAGAAAATGTTTCAAGGAGGAAATGTCTGTGCCAAATGTCATCGATAAGACAAGTAAGGTGAGGAATGAAAACGGATCCTCAATTCATCAATGAAAAGGTCATTGCGACCTTGACAGACGCTGTTTGAATGGAACGACAGAGCTCATCAGAAAGACGGATGGAAGAGGAGGCCCCCTGGAAGAACGGACAGAGGATGGACGGACACAATAACAATAGACAAGTCTTTGAAGAGCTTGTGGGATCAAAAGGTCTTTTGTTTTTAACACGCAGAAGAGAGACCCTGGTAACCTGAGGGAGACGGCAATATTCCCGAGGCTAGCCCCAGATGAGAGGATGAGCAAATTACCCACGGTAACTAGGAAGAAAGGCAGAACACACACCCGTGAGGTCATAGATGAGGTCATGAGACTGTGTGGAAAACGTCTTCTATTTTCTCAGAGGAGGAGACGGCAAAGTCCTGGCCGAGGTGAGCACGGGGCAGGAGGTTCTGGAGACGGTGACAGGTGAGAAGTTACCTAGAAGAAAGGGCTGGGGACTGGTGTGGGATCGCGGGGCAGCACGAAGGGCTCGCTCAAGGTTTATGGTCATGAGTTTGCAACTGGACAAGTCAGCCTGCTGTTTTCCAGTTTCATTCACTGTATGGGTGTAGGCAGTGAATAAACAGAAATGCAGATTTTTGATGGGTTGGCATTGCATACGAGTGTTGATGAGGCAGGTGGGTTGAGGGGGTGTGCAAGAGGGTGGCTCTAATGGCGTCAGGTAAGGAGGAAAGTGAGGACGTGACAAGGGGGGTGGGCAACACGGGGGGAGGGGGGAGTGGACACAGGTGCCCTGGGGTCAGGGGGCTGACAGAGCTGAGGCCTGAGAGGGGATGAGTGGGAAGAGGTCACGGACAGAGCGAGACGCTTGAGGGTCTAACCATGTCTAAGGCAGTTTTAAACCTGCAGCTCTCAGCAGCAAGACACTGTGGACAGACAGATCAGCTCTGGAGGTCACAACGAACCTTTCTGACTTTGTGCTTCCATCGTTCGTTTTGGAGTTTTTAAAATTTATTTAAATATGAGTAAACACACATTTGGTACTTTCTACCTTTTACTTGTAAGTAGCAAAGGCAAGCAGTGGAATACAAAACGTCCAAACTATACACACGCACACGTACAGTCTGCACGCCAAGACAGATTTATGGCCGTGAGCCGAGGCGCAGGTTGGAAAGCCCTGGTCTGAGCCTGGGCCGTATGAGGGGCTGCGAGGAAGGGGCGGAGACAAGATCACGGGATGAGCGACCAGGGAGGTGGGAGGTCAGGAGTACTGGGAACGGCCTTCCCGGGTACTAACCTCACCAAGAATCACGCAAGGGGTCGTATCAGAGTGAGAGTACTCCAAGGGCTTACATTTTCAAAAAATGGGAGGACTTATCCCAACAGGCTGTAGATGACAGCAAAAGTAAGGAGAAGGTGTGGCCAAGTCCTGGGGAAAAGCTTCCAGGCTAGGAGTTTTTACGGAGGGGGAGAGAACAGTCTGGAAGAGGTGAGGAGGAGCAAGGGGCTAACACACTGGGGAGGAGCCAGCAGGGGGAGCGGGGTCACCAGGAGAGAACCCGGCTCTGGTGAGGAAGTGGACAGAAGGACCAGTCGGAGACTGAGAACACAGGCCGCTGTGCCTGCTCATTGGTGGCCCACGGGGTGACATCATAAAGTGGGGAGATCCTTACGGACCCAGCATTATGATCTAACCTGCCTCTGCCAGCACAGTGCATGTTCTCATGTTCTCTTTCTCGGGCACTCGCTCAACACAAAGCCATCCTTTGTCAGTGTCCCTTTTTCTGCTCTGGAAGGAGGAAGAGACCCCACGCTTGTGAACAAGTCCAGACGCGACTGAGAGCGACGTCAGGGTCACTGAGTAAGTGGCGAGCAGCTGACAGATTCGGGGCTGGGGGCGGGGGAGGTGTCACAACACCCGAGCACAGGGAAGACTTCTGGCCCCCCCCCCCCCCCCCCACCCTTCCCGGCTTCTCTGTCCCCACTAAGCAACTGAGATCCAGGCCTCCAAAATACAAGGCCAAGGCAATGATGGAGTCTCTTAAGTGCCCACCTCCCCGCATCAGCACTTTCACGTGAGTGTTGTTTGATTGACATTCAGTCCTTTGCTCAGGGCCCTTTGCCGTCCTTCCTCCTCCTCCGTCTGCTGACTCCACTTTATGTTGCTTCATGGCTCTTTTCCAGCGGAAAGGTTACTTTTTGTTTCCTCCCACCAGCCCGTAAGGTCACCGGGCGCAGGGGCCTCGTCTGGGTCCCCCCTCGCCTAGAACAGTCTGGCACGCAGTCACCTGTAATACCGGGTGAATGAACGAGCCCGTCACAGAATGACTGCACCAGCGCTCAGAAATGATAAATCACAAGTGGGATCGCCAAAACTGGACCCGTCGAGAGGCAGAGCTCCTTTGCGAGGAACTAGCTGAGCTTCCGGGATGGCCACGGCACTAGCAGGGGGCGGTCCCCGGAGCTAGGTGGCCAGCGGGGATAAAAGTCCACCACGAGCACCTGGGCCGCACTCCAGGAGCTGGCTGACTTGGTCAAGGCACACGAAGAAAGATGGTGTTTCTGGAGCAAGAAACCCCGGATCTCCTTCTCCCCACAAACCCACCAGCTAGCGACAATGCAAGGACAACCCCCCCCGCCGCCCCCGACTTTCTCTTTTGAGAGACAGAGCACGAGTGAGTGGAGGAGGGCAGAGGGAGAGAGAGCATCTCATGCAGGCCCCATGCTCAGTGGACAGACCTGCGTGGGGCTCGATCCGCCATCCCCGGCTGGGATCATGACCTAAGCCAAAATCAAGAGTTGGACAGACGACTGAGTCCCCACCCCCCACCCCCCACCAAATTCCCTTTTTAAGAAATCAAAAACTAAAAGGTTTCTTCATCCTAGGGGAACCCAGAACTCGACTCACCAAAACTGGTAGATTTGGGACACACTCTTGCTGGGTTTGCAAGGATATTCATCACCGTCGACAGACCGGAGTCAGTGAATACCTGATACACCACGTTAACCGAATAAAGGACTAATTAAGAGGTGCAGAAAAAGCATCTGACAAGACTCAACAACCTCTCATGATAAAACCTCTCGACAAACTAGGTTTAGAAGGATGTGCCTAAACGTAATAAAGATCAAATATGAGCCCACAGCTAACATCATTCTCAAAGGTGAATAAATGAAAGATTCCCTCGAAGATCAGGAACAGGGCAAGGATGGCCACTCTTGCCACCTCTGCTCATCACAGTACCGGAAGCCCCAGTCAGAGCCCTTAGGCAAGAAAGAGAAAGAAAAGGCATACGGATCAGAAACGAAGAAGTAAAATGACCCCTGTTTACAGCAGACATGATCTAATATAGAGAAAAATTTTAAAGACTCCATTTTAAAAAGTGTTAGAATAGGGGCCCCTGGGTGGCTCAGTAAGTTAAGTGTCCGACTTCGGCTCAGGTCACGATCTCACGGTTTGTGGGTTTGAGCCCCACGTCAGGCTCTGGGCTGACAGCTCGGAGCCTGGAGCCTGCTTCGGATTCTGTGTCTCCCTCCCTCCCTCTGCCGCTCCCCCATGCTCTCTCTCTCAAAAATGAATAAACATTAAAAAAAACTTTAAACTGTTAGAACAGATGAGTTCAATAAAATTACAGGATATGATATCAGCCCACAAAACTCATCTGTGCTACTAGACACGAATAACAAACTCTACAAAAAGGAAATTAGGTAAACAATCCCACTTATTACAAAAAAGAATACTCAGGAAAAAAATTAACTAAGGAGATAAAACACCTGTACACTGAAAACTATAAAACAAAGATGAAACAAAGAACTTACAAACAGACTTCCTATTGGGTGGAAACCTTAATATTGTTCCAATGTCCACACTTCCTAAGAGATCTACAGAATCGATGTAATCCCTATCAAAATCCCAAAGGCATTTTTCACAGAAACTGAAAAAACAATTCTATAATTCATACAGAAGCACAAAGGACCCTAAAGAGTCAGACATCTTGAGAAGAACAAAGCCAGAGGCATCACACTTCCTGGTTTCAAAAATACTACAGAGATACAGTCATCAAGAGTACAGTAACGGCATAAAAACAGACACATAGACCAAAGAACAGAGTGGAGAATCCAGGAATAAAGCCATGCATCTACGGTCAGCCGATCTTCAGCAAGAATACAAGATGGAGAAAGGATAGTATAGTCTCTTCGACAAATGGTGATGGAAAACTGAATATTCACACGCAAAAGAATGAAACTGGACCCTTATCTTACACCACATATAAAAAACAAACAACATACAGTAAAAACTTATATGTAAGGCCTGAGATTTTAAAACTGCTACAAAAAAAACCACGGGGGAAAGCTTCATGACATTGGTTTTGGCAAGGATTTCATCGATAAGGCACCAAAGGCTCAGGCAACAAAAGCCAAAGCTGACAAGTGGGACTACATCAACTTAAAATGTCCTGCACAGCAAAGGAAACAACCAACACGGCAAAAAGACAACCTACAGAATGGGAGAAAATATTTGCAAACCATGTATCTGATAAGGGGTAATTCTCTAAATACGTGAGGAACTGCTACAGCTCAATAGCAATAAATAAAACAAAAAACTAATAGTCCAATTAAAAAATGGGCTGAAAACTTGAAAAGACATTTCTCCAAAGAAGATATATAAATGGCCCACAAGTATATGAAAAGATGCTCAATGGCATTAATCATCAGGGGAATGCAAATCGAAACCACACACACAGACACACACACACACAACCACAATGAGATGCTACCTCATACCTGTGAGGATGGCTATGATCAAAAAAACAAGACAAAAAAAAAAAGGACAACGGTGCTGGTGAAGATGTGGGGAAAACAGAACACCCGCACCCTGTTGGTAGGAAGGAAATGATGCAGCTGCTATGAAAACAGGAAGGCGTCTTCTCAAAATATTAGAAGCAGAACGATCATGCGGTAGCCACCCCACTTCTGGGATTTCTCCGAAAGAGACGAAATCAGGGTCTGGAAGAGAGATTAGCACTCCCGTGTCCACTGCGACAATGGTCAGAGTAGCCCAGATGCGAACACCACCTAGACTTTCAAGCAGGTAAAGAAAACCTGGTCTCTGCAGACAACGCGAGGTTATCCAGTCCTAAAACAGTGGCATTGCGCACTATTCCACCACACGGATGAACCCTGAGGGTAGCATTCCAAGTGAAATAAGCCACTTCGGGACAAATACTGCATGATTCCGCGATTTGAGGAATATAGTGTGGTCAAATTCACAGAATCAGAGTGGAACGGGGGCTGCCGGGGGTCATACGGAGTTACCAGACACGGTTCCCGTCAAGGAAGATATCAAGCTCCGGAAATGCGCTGTGCGACACGGACCTCCGGCCAACGGCCATCTATTGTACGTTTAAGAGGGCAGAGTTCACGTTAAGTGTTCTTTGCACAATAAAAAAAGAGAAATGAATCCGTGTAGTGACGGATGAGAGAAAAGCAAGTTCGTACAGACCCAGGAGAAACTACAGGAGGGTGTGGGGCCAGCAAAGAATGAAACAGGCTGAACACCTGGGATTCTCAACTCACTTCCCCTCGTGCTGAGTCCACAGAAACCCCCTTCGGAGGTGAGGCCAGAAGTCCTAAGTGACGTGAAGGTTACTCCCTCAGAACTCAAGAAGCGGTCTGTGACTGCTGCTACCGGGACAAGAGGTCTGCAGAATTTAGGACGTATTCAGACCATTTGAACATTTACCTAAAATATGTGAAGGTTAAAGATGCCCCCGAGATGCTCAAATGAGAACAATCACCCCTCAGCAGTGTATTGACGCCCGAGTACAATTCGCGATTTGCAGGCTGGCTCCGTGTTGTTCTTTGCAGAAACGCGTTACTTCCCAAGTGAGAGACTTCAAAGCTGAAGGGATCTATCCGTTTAAACTCTGTGGAACACAACAGCGATGATTCCGAGAGCTAGCTCTCAGCTCCCGTAGTTTTCAAACCCGGACACACGCGCCCCCCTGGGAACACGTGAACGCAGACACCGTAAAGGAACCAGCTTGCGACCGTGGATTCCCCCGAGACTCGTGACCGATCTGCCCGCAACCTGCTGCCTTCCCGCCTTCCCTTTCGTCACAGCCCTCTCCACCCAGCCGTCCCAAGTCACACCCTTCACGCTGACCCAAGAGGCACGGCCTCAAGACGTCTCGTGAGAGGACCCGGAGACAACGGCGTCAGTGAGCAAGTGAGCCTTACGTGACTTGTAACAAAATGGTTTCTACTCTATTTGCTTTGCACACAAGCGAGGAGGGTCTAACCCGGCTGTCCGAATCAGAGTAACAAACATTTTTATGACGCATGATGTGACTTGGGCATGTAACGCAGGTGTCAGAAAAATTAGAATAGCATTCCTACTTCAAAATCCTTGAATTCCTGCCTACTGATTCTTGTAAACTGATATAGTCTCTCATCTACAGTAATGAAAATAGTCATAAAATTGACACTGCACTTGTCCCATTCTCGCAATGAGGAATATTCATCCACAGATACATGCATTAGTTAGAAAATCTTAGCCACATCCATCTCATTAAGAGTGAATTTGCAACTCAATTTTACTTTATTAACCTATCAAATAAGTTAATCAAATATAACCACGATGACTTGATTTTACACTAATAAAAACTATAACAATGCTGAGAGCAAATGAACTCTTAAAGTTATTATGGTCAATGGAACTTTTAAAAAAAATTAAGTTCACTGTTTATACTATTTTGTTGCAGACAAGACAGGGTAGACCAAAAACAGCCATGTTACAGTAGAATTTATTTTTGTGGGGTGGCGAATGAAAATACAAGTTCAGGCACAAAAGACGAGGAGGTAAAATTTCAGACGTTAAAGGAAATTATTTCTTTTTTTTTTTTTTTTTTTTTTTTATTTAATTTTTTTTTTTTCAACGTTTATTTATTTTTGGGACAGAGAGAGACAGAGCATGAACGGGCGAGGGGCAGAGAGAGAGGGAGACACAGAATCGGAAACAGGCTCCAGGCTCCGAGCCATCAGCCCAGAGCCCGACGCGGGGCTCGAACTCCCGGACCGCGAGATCGTGACCTGGCTGAAGTCGGACGCTTAACCGACTGCGCCACCCAGGCGCCCCGGAAATTATTTCTTTTAATGGATGACAGCTGGGGCGCCCGGGTGGCTCAGTCAGTCAGGCATCTGACTCTTGACTCCTCTCAGGTCACGATCTCATGGTTCATGGGATCAGCCCAAGTCGCCTCTACACGGAGAGCGTGGAGCCTACTTGGGATTCTCTCTCCCCCTCTCCCGCTGGTGCTAGCAAAATATATAAACTTAAATAAATAAATAAATGGATGATAGTTCATTTAAAATAATCACCACTATGGTATTTAGATTCCACTGGATAAATTTAGGAGAGTGTTAGGGGCGCCTGGGTGGCTCAGTCGGTTAAGCGTCCGACTTCAGCTCAGGTCACGATCTCGCGGCTTGTGAGTTCGAGCCCCGCGTCGGGCTCTGTGCTGACGGCCTGGAGCCTGCTTCTGCTTCTGTGTCTCCCTCTCTCTGTGCCCTCGCCCACTTGTGCTCTGTCTCTCTCTCTCTCTCTCTCTCTCTCTCAAAAATAAGTAAACATTAAAAAAAAAAATTTTTTTTAATTTAGGAGAGTGTCGGAACACATTCTAAAATGTCATCATTTACAATCTACTGGCAATCAAATTCTTTACCATCGTTTAAACTTGTGATGGAGAATTTTATATGTCAAGGTAAAAATGTTCAAGGGGGTGCACTATCTATTATCTCTCAAAGGGGTATGCTTTCAAATTCTGGAGATCACTTCTCTAGAATAGGAGTTCTTAACATAGGATGTAATGTGGTCATTATAGAAACACTAGTAGTTCGTCTTACTAGTTTTAGGACACTGGCAAGTCACTTAAGTTCGGCTCCGTCTACTTATGTGTAAAATGGGGACAGTACTCTATCTACAGAGATGAATCTGTCGAACTTCATATGCATTAGAATCACCTGGAAGGCTTGTTAAAACAGATTGCTGGACGCTTGCTCCCAGAGTCTGATTCAGAAGGTCTGGGGTCAGGCACCCAAATTTGCATCTCCAACGAGTTTCCAGGTCATGCTAACGCTGTTGGCTCAGG